CAACCTCCGCAAGGGCTGCACGCGTCCACGGCGGTTGGGATTCAGTTACTGCAGACTAGGATGTCGTTCGATGACGATAACCTCGAGCCCTCCCTCCGCTCTCCAGGGCCTTTGGCAATGAGCGGAGGAGACATCGAGACTCTACAGGACATTTATCTCGACAGTGCCAGCGCCGCCGGGCACTGGCACGATCTTCATTTTACCGACAAGCAAGAGCAGGGGAAGGTATGTATGTAAAATTTTATTTACTCTTTAGACTAATGTTCCATTATATTTCACTAACTGTTCTGTACTCTTCGAAGCAATGTTCTGTATTCTCTGCGTAAATGTTACATACCAAACATTTATAATCTAAATTTCCCATATTCTTCCAAAAAGTGAAAAACACGTGTACTGTAACCGACAACCGCCTTTCGTAACAAGGGAGAATGAATGAGAATGAATAATTCTGCAACACTAAACCTGTTTCAACCTTCCGGACCTACATTGACTATAGCTTTCCTCCTTCTCTATGACCTCTAACCACCGTCTCCCGACCAGAAGGGCTGGGGAAGCAGCGCGGATGGCCAGCAGCAGGAAGCGTCCACATCCTACGCTGGCAATCCGGGCTGGAAGGATAGTCAAGGGGACAGACTTCACCCCGAATCCCACGCGGAATCCTCCTCTCTTGCGGGGTATCAGTACGGTTCTGTGCTCTACGAGGACGCGAAAGAAACGGGATTCGACAGCGCAGGTAATGTGTGGGGGTTACGGTGAAATTGATTGAAAAGAAAATAGGGTAGATTCTACAGTGGTATCATTTATCGTTTTCTAACTGAGTTTGAGGCTGATATGTAGACAGACAGACAGTTTTGTGTTATAGTGACATTTTCTCAGGAGCAAGCAACTACATGGAAAACTACGGTGCCCATGGCGGAGATATTGATGAAAGTTACGAAGAGAGAACCGGTTACGCTGAGTGTGAACTGCAGGAGCCCTTCTCTTCACTGACAGTTGGTAAGGATCATATTGGGACAGAGATAGATAGATAGATAGATAGATAGATGATAGATAGATAGATAGATAGATAGAAGATAGAAGATAGAGATAGAGAGAGAGATAGGAGAGAGAAGAGAGAGAAGAGAGAGAGAGAGAGAGAGGAGAGAGAGAGGAGAGAGAAGAAGAGAGACAGAAGAGAGAGAGAGAAGAGAGAGAGACAGAGGAGAGAGAGGAGAGACAGAGAGAGAGGAGAGAAAGAGAGAGAGAGAGAGAGAGAGAGAGAGAGAGAGAGAGAGAGAGAGAGAGTAGAGGAGAGTGAGAGGAGAGAGGAGAGAAGAGAGATGAGAGAGAGAGAGAGAGAGAGGAGAGAGAGAGAGAGAAGAGAGAGAGAGAGAGAGAGAGAAAGAGAGAAAGAAAGACGTCCTTAACCGAGATATTTCTGAAATCTCATGAGCTAACAGAAAATTGTCATTTTCACGTCGCAGAAAAGTAACACTTCAAAGAAACCTTTAAATTCCTCTACTCCTCAAAGCAGATGAAGGTGCACACGGCTCCTACAGTGCCTCGGGAATGCAATTCGACAGCTCCACCAACGACGCCCTCTTCAGCAGAATTCCGTCGAACAGAAACAGAGGTTAGTGAAACTTTGTAACGCGTTTCATTCAGGCAATGCGTTTGTATAATGTTGATACCTTTTCCTTTGAAGAACAACTCTTCTACCAGATTTTGGGGTCTGCTAAGGCATATAAATCTCCCGAGATTCACCTTCTGCATTTTATTTACGTGCATCATTTGATAACTTGGACTGTCTGCATGCAAAAGATCGACGCCCGAAGAGTTGGGAGTTTATTATGCGGCTTCTGGCGAGCAAACAGACGAACCCTTCTCTGATCCGGTGGGAGGACGAGGCCTCAGGAACCTTCCGCTTGGTCCAGCCGAAGATGATCGCGAAGATGTGGGGGAGCGTCTTCTCCGGGAAACCCAACTTGTCCTACAATAACTTCGCTCGGGACCTGAGGTGCGTTGGGTTGTCACTGTTGCTATTCATTGAGGGTTTGAGAGCAACTCGAGTACTTAATAGTCGTTCAAATATCGTGTTTCTTTCCAGGCATTATTACAAGTCAGGCGAGATTCTGCCTGTGCGCGAGAAGCAGCTGGTATACAGATGTGGCCCCGAAGCTCTTGCTTATCTCAAAGGCCTTCAGACGACTTAGGTTTTATTTCTCCCGGATTCTTCTTTCGCCTCCTTGCTACCACAGGCCAGACTCTCGACCTGTTGTTGAAACCCATGATAGCAAGTAACAAAGAAATCTATCACCATGACAATATTCCTTCTCAATTAGTACCTGGGAACTCCAAAGGTACATAAGAAGATTCAAGAAATTAATCTCCATACCGTCATCGAAGTCATCACACAAACGAAACAGAGATTTTCTTCTCTCTCGGGGAATAGCTCTTCATATCAGTAATATGCAGCTCTACAATATCGTTGGGGATTGATCACGTTGCATTATCTATGAAGATATACAGTGGAGAGAGCTCGCCATGTTCAGATATATGATGTAAGCAAAGTCGGCCGTTTTATAGAGAACAGCTGTATTTTCAACCCTAATGCTAATTCAATTGTCCAAAATTCGTATCAAATGTACATCATTCACTTCTTTGTGTTAGAATCAGGTGGATTATAATCAATAAAATATATAATTTGCCCACATTTATCTTCATAAAATTGTTTAATCATTTAGGAAAACGGAACGGATATTAATTCACTTTTCAGAACAGTAACCGTTTCAAATCCATCTGTAGTATAAAAATATTAATTCTCATTCATAGCTTTTCTACTTTTGTCACAATCATTACGCTTTATACGAATTAATGTCGCTATCAAAGGATTCTACATATTAAAAGGAACTATTTCATTGCGTTATTTTTTCTCCCTCTCTTTTTTTTGTATTTTGGTTTACTCACCTCACACATACACACCCACTCACAACACAAGAAGCAAACCTCAGACATTCCATCGGGGACAGCAAATAAAAGAACGAAATAAAAGACTTGGTAACACGTTTGGACAAGACGAAAGCGGAAGGACCAATTAAGAACTCTACATAGATCCTTAAAGACTATAGAATAACACATTATTGTTGATGTACCAAAGTTCAGTGATGTAGAAGCTCCAAAAAGCATGGGAATCTGCAAATGTTACATCCCATTATAAACAAAACTTTCTATATTATAGATGTTTCGTTAACTAGAGAAATATGAAATAACGGAAACGATGGGCTTAACTATATGGTAAACACTCGGTACGAAACAAGCAGTGTTGTTCCAAGTAGATTTCTGTGTATTTTTTTACTTTTTGTTTGGTGGATTATATGAAATGAAATATGTTACGCTGTAGACTATTATGGAAACTGGAATGCCTATTTGGAATTTAAAAACTGAAAATAGGAAAATCTTTATGGAGCTAAACTAAATTGCAACATTTGGTTAGAGAGAAAACGCGTCGATCATTAAAATTCCGTAACTAAATGTCCTGTGATAAATGAACACCTCGCTTTATCCTTTCTTTTTCTTTTTCCTTTCATAAAACTAAGGAGCGTAGTATTTCACAAGCACAGATGATTGGACGACTTACTTGAAAGACAAAGAAACACCAATAGCAAGAAAACGTCCCATATGGTGACGAGTAAAGTAAGTGAGTTGCCTGATTCTTGGGACCGACAATTTTTAGCAACGAATTCGATTCGAACGGAAGAAACTCTCTAAATACGTCTACAGACGATGGAATAAAAATAAAAGATGTTTCCCTCTAAAGACCCCCAAGGGACATTGAAAACTATTTCATGTGGTTTTACTTGGAATTCAACTGTAATACACCATGTAAGGTTCTTGGCTCTAGGGATCGACACATAGCAACAGTCTAGAAGACGCTGTATTAAATAAAACAGAGAAATAAAAGGGCCTTGGAATAATCAAACCGACACTGCCAAACCCAAATAATCGATGAAATTCATTCATGTTTATGGTGATATAGTTCGAGTATTTATTTTTCTTGCAACTAGTGATTTCAATGCACTGTATGTACTTATCTTCCAAGGAATATTCATGTTTTTTTGGCAACTTTGTGAATAATGTACCAGTTTAAATAATCTTTAAAAAGTAGATTGCGAAAAAAACTAGACAGCTGTAGAAAGTTTCATGACGACCCATAAAAAAAAAAAAAAAAAGAGCAAAATTGATGAAATAATACAACGTTGGCAGGTTATAAGTGTAACGTGAAAACACAGTTTGAAAATTACCAATGATTAGTTTAATCTTTCTAGAGTAATAGGTTCCAAATTTTGATTTCCTTTTCGCTATAAAAAATGAAATATATATATATATATATATATATATATATATATATATATATATATATATATATATATATATATATATATATAACTGCAGCACCTGGCTGCTGAATACTATATTTACATTAAAGATGAAACAAAAAATACTTTAATCATTAAAAATCCATTAATCTTGTAAAACTGTTTTGTAAACAAAACATAGATGAAGAAACCCGATCAGAACTAACAACAACGTAACAATTTAATGAAAAAAAAAACTTGGGATAAAACGCAGATGCTTCAACAAGCTCTCCCTAATCCTAGTTCCCCAATCCCAGGATTTTCCCCCTGGCCCCGAATCCTGTAGACACTTTTGGTATCTCCAGGGGAACCTTCAGAATTTTGCTCATGGTAACTATGTTCTCGTCGTAGGAAAGAGAGAGAGAGAGAGAGAGAGAGAGAGAGAGAGAGAGAGAGAGAGAGAGAGAGAGAGAGAGAGAGAGAGAGAGAGAGAGAGAGAGAGAGAGAGAGAGAGAGAGAGAGAACACATTCTCTGATGCAACATAAATTATACAGACATCACAATCAATGGATAATAATTATTTCATCGTGTCTAAAATGAAGTTTATTCACACACCACATCACTACATTATATCCACAAATTTAGCGATAAGTAAATTTCACCTCTACATCGTTGCCATGACAAATCACAACGCAAGTTATCACAATTACCTTCTTACATTATCTTCATCAACTATTATAAATCATCGGTATCTTATTGCTTATTTCATTATACTTTCTTCAAGAAATACACTCATTTTATCTGTACTAGTTTGAGACACATGCGGAGAGCGAGTAGACTGAGGATGGAGGAGGCGATGGCAGAGGGCAGCACCGTCGAGTGTCGGAGCTTTTTTTTTTTTTTCTTTTCTTTAAAATTTCTGTTCATATAGGAAATGGCAGCGGCTTAGGTTGTGTTAAGCTGGTAGCCATGTTTTATGAGAATATAATTGCTACACTTGGTCATCTTGTAAATCGTCTATTTACGCCCGTATGAGAAGAGAAACCGACGGAACCGATGTTTACATTACCAGACAGGGTTGCCCGCTCAGGCATCTGCTATCATGTTATTAGTAACGCTGTTTAAACTTTAATCAGCTGACAGAGTTACCAAATGCCTCTTTTTCCAATCAATAACATCAGACTTAAGAGCAGATATTCCAAGGAAGTATAATGCCAAAAGCTTATTCCCTTACTATGGAAGACATTGACAGACATTATACAAATTGATGACACCTTTTTCATAATCTCAGACTTGGACCTGCTTAGGTCCACACGCATCGGAACATCTGTAAATACAAGTAAAATAATTTTTTGATGGATCAGCCTTATACATTAAATAAATAAACTTAAAATAATGGGTAAAACAGTAAATATCGTATCCCTTCAACAAGTAGATTAACATTTCAGTGTATAATGCGAGAACAATACATTTGCCGTTAGTTTACCATGTTGCAAGCTGTCAATAGCGTCATTAGTTAAGAGATGTGTCCAGTTTCAAGTCGGATGAAATGGATGCTGGTCTTCTATATTTCCTCATTTCTTCCACAACGAAGTAATTCTATAAAGCCAATTTTTATACCTGCACCTAGAAGGGAAAACTGAGTTAGTTGGCTGTATTTTTGCTGAAATCCTCTTCATTCCCACTTTGCAAACTATGCAAATATGATCAGCTACCTTATACAATTTTTTTTCTTGTGCGTTGACATATCTTTAAGTCTGACCGCTCTTAATTGATAGTTACAGCGAAAGGCGTAATATATCACACATAAGTGGTTCTTGAGATGGGGATTCACCATGACAACTTAAAGGATAGCGTAAAACCCATTTGTAAAGACTGAAACTTATAAGATTGCCGGATATAATCGCCATTATGCAGTTGTTCGCCTTTGTTGATAATACAGCAGCAAAGTTGACGGAGTCTTCGCATACCAAACCCTCTATAAATATGATTGCTAATCTTTGTGTGTGTAATTAAGGTATGTGTTAAAAGTGCTTCTGAAGCCCTCTTACAAGCCAGTTAAAACGCTATTAACCGGAACACAGCTAGACTAACACACAACAAACGTTATTAACGAAATATGCACGATTCAACGGAGAGTACGCACTGATCCCGGCATGTACACACGCATACATCGTACCCAGTGTGAGTTTAGTTATCTGAGGCAATGTACTGTACTTTAGGAATGGTAACACGAGTAATAAGTTGAAATATGATGAAGCTTCCCATAGAGTCGAATTAAAAGGGAATTTGGAATTTTGAGATAAATGCTCTCTTCTATAAGCTTGAGAAGCCCGTCCAGATTGGCATTATAATTATCATGTTGATTATTATCTTTATTATCATTATTATTTATTTTGGGGAGGTCATGTAAAGCCTTTGGAACGACTATATCTTATTTATTCTTTCATACTAATTGTATACTTTTCATTAAAAAAATAATTCGAAGAAAAACAAGGTTTGTCATAATCCAGTAACAAATACAATATGAATAATTTAGTTTAATATCAATAAAAGAGTTTATTGAAGTATCATCCCTGGTAAATGAATCTTCAGAACAAATGAAAGTAGATAAACTTTAATATGAGATCTAAAAAAATGAAATATTAAATATCATCATAACATACCACTGAAAATATGACGTTTCGCATAAAAAACAAAATAACCGAAAGGCATGTTTTGTTTTCATATTTACGAAAAGGCACGATTTTGGAAAATTATTACATGAACACAAGATCGAAATAAAAAGAAAATGAAGAGAGTAAAATTCATTTCTTTTCTCTACTTACTTTCCTACCCGTACACACACAAACACATATATTGCGTATATCTGTATGACTGTAGTAAAAAAAAAAAAAAAAAAAAAAGGTCTGTAAACACAGCTCGTGACGTCAGCAGGTGGGGAAAGTAACAAACTCGTCATTTAAGCACACAAACATACACACACATATGTATGTATGTATCCTTATATATATATATATAATATATAATATATATATATATATATATATATATAGAGAGAGAGAGAGAGAGAGAGAGAGAGAGAGAGAGAGAGAGAGAGAGAGAAGAAGAGAAAGAGAGAGAGAGAGAGAGGGAGGAAGAGAGAGAGAGAGAGAGAAGAGAGAGAGAGAGAGAGAGAGAGAGAGAGAGAGAGAGAGAGAGAGAGAGAGAGAGAGAGAGAGAGAGAGAGAGAGAGAGAGAGAGAAAGAGGTGGCGCATATTGGGAAAGGCCTATGACTTCCATCAGTCAAAAAAAAAAAAAAAAAAAAAAAAAAATATAAATATATATCGATAGATAAAGAGATATAGATATGATTAAAGATACAGACATACATGAAAATATATATACACAGACAGAATGATAGGCAAATGGATGGATAAATAGAGAATAAGGTCTATTACTTACTCTCTCTCTCTTCTCTCTCTCTCTCTCTCTCTCTCTCTCTCTCTCTCTCTCTCTCTTTATATATATATATATATTATATATATATATATATATACATATACGCATATATATATATAT